ACTGTTCGTTCATTAAATATTTGCCAAGGACCTCCCTTATTCTAGGCAGTGACTTAGGTATTTGGGGTATATTGGTAAACAAAACGAAAATATCTATGCCTTCTTGGGACTGTGACCTGGAATGATGAGGATTAAATAAAATTAATGTTCAGTGTTCATTGTGGTAGCAGATATATAGAACTGCTCCAGTGCCTTGGCTCGGTTTCTTCTTTGCCATTCTGTTTCTATCAGGGCCAGCAGAGATGGTATGGGGAGACCTTTGTATTTGATTTGTATAGATACCTGTGCAGTGTAGTCAGGCCCAGTTCTGATAACTTGGTATGACCTCTCCAAATAGGACCCAGGACCTGACTTTACTGCCTAACTAGTCAAATCAACTGTGAAGCTATTTAAAATCTTAAATACACTAGCTGCTCCTAATAGTCTTGGTTGTCTGCCCATGCCTACCCTTATATTTCTTCCCATTCCCCTTGGATCTGACATCATCCATTTTCCTCATTCTTGAATTGTCAGGTTCCCCTCCTCATTCCCCCTTCTTAGCTTACTGTCACATCTTTTGCATTAAAATAAACCCAAAAATCTTTACTGTGCTGCACTATTTTCCTCCAAATAGGCCAAGGCCTCTTCTTCCTTCCTTTTCAGAAAGACATTTTAAAGTTGTCTGTATCTACTTATTCCATATTTCTTTTATTTTTCTTTAATTCTTTTCAGTCTTTCTGTTGAGGATTGTCTGAGATCCTTTGCCTGTAGTTTATCTTTTTCTGTTGTGCTTCCTTGAAAGTGACGTATTTTATTGGTAAAACAATGTGAAACCAGTGGGTTGGCTTATGGCCTCAGTGACCTGGGTTTGAATCCTAATTCTGCATCCTGAATGGCCTTGAACAGGTTTCATCTTCACAGTTTTGGAATAATATTGACTTTAAAGTTTTTGGAGGATTAGAAAGCTATAAAACTTAGCATACTGTCAGGCTGTATGATACGAGTTAAGAGAAAAATAGCCAATATTGGGGCAGGCCTTCAGCCTAGTGGTTTGGCTACTACTTCGGTCACCTTTGTCCCATATTGGAATGCCTAGGTTTGAGTTCCAGCTTCATTCCTGGTTTCAACTTTCTCCCAATGCAAACCTTGGGAAGCAGCCAGTGGTGACTCAACTATTTGAGTCCCTGTCACCCATGTGAGAGACCTGGATTGAGGTCATAGCTCCTGGCTTCTGCCTGGTCCAGCCCTAGGAATTGTGGGAGATCAGATGGGATCTCAAATGATGTCACAGAAGATGAGAGATCACTGTCTCTTTTTTTTTTTTTGGACAGGCAGAGTGGACAGTGAGAGAGAGAGACAGAGAGAAAGGTCTTCCTTTGCCGTTGGTTCACCCTCCAATGGCCGCCGCGGCCGGCGCGCTGAGGCCTGCGCACCGCGCTGATCCGATGGCAGAAACCAGGTACTTCTCCTGGTCTCCCATGGGGTGCAGGGCCCAATACTTGGGCCATCCTCCACTGCACTCCCTGGCCACAGCAGAGAGCTGGCCTGGAAGAGGGGCAACCGGGACAGAATCCGGCGCCCCGACCGGGACTAGAACCCGGTGTGCCGGCGCTGCAAGGCGGAGGATTAGCCTACTGAGCCGCAGCGCCGGCCTAAGATCACTGTCTCTTAAAAAAAAGTAGCCACTGTTAATGACATTTTTGAAAACACTCCTTCACTCTCCCTGACTCTGTTCTGTTATTTACTTTTTTAAGGGTTTCTGAAAGGCAGAGTTACAGAGAGGGAGAGACAGAGAGATATCTTCATTTGCTGGTTCACTCCCAAAGGGCTGCAAAGGTTGGTGTTGAGCCGTTTTGAAGCCAGGAGCCAGGAATTACTTCCAGGTCTCCCATGTGGTTGCCATGGCCCAAGGACTTAGGCCGTCTTCTGCTTTCCTAGGAGCATTAACAGAGGGCTGGATCAGAACTGGAACAGCCAGGACTCAAACCAGCAGCCATGTAGGATGCTGGCACTGAAGGTGGAGGCTTCACCTCTGCCACAGTGCCAGTCCCTCTTTTATTTACTTACACCTTTTCTGTCACAGGTTAAGCATCCTTCATCGGAAAATTCAAAATCCTCCCAAATCGTAAACTTTTTCAGTGTCAGGATGACACTTAGAAAGTTTTGGATTTTGAAACACTACAGATTTTGTATTTTCAGATTAGGAGTGGTCAACCGATGAAGCCTATGCAGGTATTCCCAAATGCAAAAATCCTGAAATTGGAAAGAACTCTAGTTTCAGCATTTTAGGTCAGGGATACTTAACCTATAGTTCATTTATTCTTAGCTCTGTTTCTGTTTTCTTTCCAAGAATATAAGGTCTTAGCATTTTTTTCTTAGTGTCTTAATAAAATCTAATGGTTTCAGCTATCCTTTTATGATTAATAATTCCACATTCTCTCCTAAATGCCAGATAAGAATGTCTGGCTGTATATTAGACCTGAAATGTTTGTCAGAGATGAGGAATAATTATCAGGAGGGAGTTTCTGCATTTGATCTGTAGAGGAAACAAACTGATATCTTACCTGGAAAACTAAATAGTTTTACTACTTAAATTGTTAAATTTCTGAGTAACTTTAAATTTTTTAAGATTAATTTATTTGAAAGGCAGAGCAACAGGGTGGGGTTGGGGTGGGGGGAGAAGGAGAGAAAGAGACAGACAATGGCCAGGGCTGATCCAGGCCAAAGCCAGGAGCCCAGAACTCCATCTGTGTCTCCTGTATAGGATTGCAGGGGCCCAAGTATTTGGGCCATCTGCTGCTGCTTTCCAAGACACATTAGCAGGGGACTGGGTTGGAACTGTAGTAGCCAGGAGTAGCTGGGACTTGAACCGCCACTCATATATGGTATGCCAGTGTTTGAAGGGGTGTCCTAACCCGCTGCACCACACCAACGGGCCCTTCAGTGACTGACTTTTGGACAGTTCACAATCTTTGGTGAAGAAGAGGAAGAAAATGCTTTCTACTCAGAAATAACAGATAACTGTTGATTAGTTGGAAGATTTTTCATGTGATTCCTGAGAGAATTTGTGACACCTGTTTCCAAAGAAAGCAACAAAAACATTGCATGTTTTCTCTTACAAAAATGTATTTTGCCCAAACTGAGTTGGACACAAAGAACATTCCTCAAATTCGTAATGAGTAGAACTTTCTAAAAACTGCTCAGGTAACACAAAGTAGTAGAGAGCCAAAAACATTTTATTTACTTCTAACCTTTGACTGCTAAAAGGAGAAAATGAAAGGGTTTGTAGAAGCATATTTCACAAAAGTAACTGTAGACTTACTTGTCAGATCCAAATATACATGTAGAAAAATGCACAAACATGGTTAAATTTACCTATGCTGGGATTTATTTGGCAGACGGGAAATGGAATGTGTTTTTTACATAGGAGTTTTATCCATTGCCTCTTTGGTAGTCCATCAGCTCCTAGAAGCAAATGATTCCCTCATGGTTTATTTTCTTAAAAATACCACTGAGGTTTCACATTTCTCTTTCATAATTTGCAGCAAAGTGTATTGGACACTAGATTGACTACTGAGCCCAAATGTAGTAGAGTAGGAAGTATCATAAGGCACATGGAACAACTTTAACCAACAATCTAACCAACAGAAGAAAATCAGCTGTTTGTATACACAGTTGGTTAGGCTCTTGGAATCATGGACTGAAGGGCTCTAAACGATAATGTCATTTTTTTCTCATTGACGGATAAGGAAACTGAGATCTTGATGGTTAATTGTTTCCCTAAAAGAGAAGCCTTATTTTGTGGTGAAAGGAAGAGAAGCATTTTGTTAATATCTTGCCTTCCCTCCTTACCAACTGTGTAACACTGGTTATCTGCCCTAATACACACCCGAGAGCTGGTGTGTACTCCTGGGTGAATTAGTGTCTGAGTTTTTGATAAAATTTAGCCCAGAGATATAGTGAGTGCATCTAAAAGTTTTGAATAATAAACTGTTTGTGTTTTTCTCTTATTTTTTAAAGCTAAAGCAAAGACTGACATTTCATTAACCTGTTGGAAAAAACTCATTTGGTTTTGTTGATTTGTTTTCTATTTCTTTATGTGCAGTAATTCTTTTAAGAAATAAGTTATTGGAGCTGGCATTGTGGCATAGCAGGTTAAGTCTCTGCCCACGATGCTAACATCCTATATGGGTGTTGGTTTGCGACCCTGCTGCTCCATTTCCAATTCAGCTCCCTGTTAATGTACCTGGGGAAGCAGTGGAAGATGGCCCAAGGGCTTGGGACCCTGCATCCACTTGAGAGACCCAGAAGCAGCTTCAGGCCCCTGGCTTCGACCTGGCCCAACCGCAGCTGATGTGGCCATTTGGGGAGTGAGCCAGTGGAAGGAAGATCTGTCATTCTGTGTCTCTACTCCTCTCTCTCTAACTCTGCCTTTCAAGTAAATAAAAAATAAATCTTAGGGCCGGCGCTGTGGCATAACGGATGAGGCCGCCACCTGCAATGCTGGCATCCCATATGGGCACTGGTTCAAGTCCCGGCTGCTACACTTTGATCTGGCTCGCTGGTTTGAGACCCGGCTGCTCCGCTTCGATCTGGCTCTCCGCTATGGCCTGGGAAAGCAGTGGAGGATGGTCGAAGTCTCTGGGCCCCTGCACACACCTGGGAGACCAGAAGCTCCGGGCTCCTGACTTCACATTGCCCCAGCTCCAGCCGTTGCTGCCATTTGGGGAGTGAACCAGTGAATGGAAGACCTCTCTCTTGTTCTCTCTCTGCCTCTGCCTCTCTGTAACTCTTTCAAATAAATAAATAAAAATAAATATAATATATACTATAAATATATTTAAATATAAATATAAATAAAAATCCTAAAGTTACTTTTATTTTTAAAGTAGGAATTTAAGACTAATTTTCATATGTTATATTTTAGCTGTATACTCAAGATTTGATTTATTCAGTTTAACTATTTTGTAATTTATATTTTGACTTTTTCTTGACCTATGATTTGTTTATTGGAGAGACAGAGAGCAATAAGGTGCTCCCATCCTCTGGTTGACTCCCCAAATACCTGCTGTGCTGAGCCAGGGACCCAACTACATGAGCCAACACCTGCTACTTCCCAGGGTATGTATCAGCAGAAAGCTGAAATCATGACCAGAGGTAGAACTTGAACCTAGGGTATGTGGGCATCCCAACCAGCATCTTAACTGCTGTGTTAAACACCTGCCCCTGATATTTTGACTTCTGCATTTTCAGACATGCAGATTTTGGGGTGACTGTTCTTTCTTTTTTCCTCATAGAATTGTTAGGCTTAGATAATACTTGTGCATAGGCAAATAGTAGGTATTAAATAAAGGTTTCCATTTTCCCTTAAATAGATGCATGATTTTGATATTAGAACAGGGAACATAGAATTGCCAGTAAGTGTAAATAATACAAATAATGGCTTTAGTTCTAGACTATTGACAAATAAGGAGATGAAGTCTAGAGAGTAAAGGGGAATGATAAGAGATTAAGCTTGGGAGGAGGGAAGAGAGGGGAAGTCAGAGGAAATAGGAATATAAAGTTGAATCAGTTTTAGTCTTCGAAATCCTGTTCTATGATTACTTTAGTCTGTGGGCTTTAGGTTCTTATTTTAAATTATATTTCTTTTTTTAATTAAAGATTTATTTATTTGAAAGTCTGAGTCCGTTAGCAAGGAGCTGGATGGGAAGTGGAGTAGCCAGGATGCGAACCAGTGCCCATGTGGGATGCTGGCATTGCGGGCAGCAGTTTAACCTGCTGTGCCACAACCCCAGCCCCAAGTTATATTTCTTATACTTTTATAATAGAAGCATTCATAGATGCCGTTTTGGAGGGGAGGGTTGATACATGTTGTGAAATAGTATGGCAGAAGTCTGTGTTTTTGAGGAAAGGATCCATAGTTTCATTGTCTTAAAGAGATTCCTGAGAAATTAAGAACTTCTGCTTTATCTTTTTAACATGATGTTGAATTATTTATCCCCACATCTTAATTATTTATTTTTAATAAAAAGCTGTACAGTACCATGTGATGTTCTAGTACATTTATACACGTGTAATGCTCAGAGTAAATATATTTGTCTTTAAGCATTTAGCTTTTCTTTATGTTGAAAGCATCCCAAATCCTATCTTCCAGTTTGTTTTTTTAATAAGCAGTACATTAACATTATCTGTAGTCTTTCTTAATGTTATCCAGGTGTAAGAACCTCTCTTTTAGAGTCTTTATCAGGTGGTAGATTTGAGAAGCCTCACAGGGAATTCTTTTTCCTGCTGGAGCAATAATGACTGCTTCCCACTAGAGTGTGATTTAACATGCCTTATAATTCCTTAGGTGAACACTGGATGACTAGACATGTTAACAAGAGTATCTAGCTTTTACTAAAGTGAAATTTAAAGCTGCATGACATTTTATAATAAAGTATACATATTGTGATACCTGGTATGAACTATAGAAACTTAAATGCCTGTGATTAGTATGATCTTTATATAAACTATGCCAAGTGTTCTTAGCCTCTCCAGAGTTCCAGGAGTAAGAGGAAGCTTGGTAGCTGCTGTGGAGATGGGGTGCTATAAAGAGGAGCTTTGGGTAGCTAGAAGACAGGAGACAGTGCCTGGCTAGAGATGAAGAATTGCCCCTCTCCCTCAAATTAAAAAAAAAAAAAAAAGTATTTGAGAGACAGACTGAGTGAGCCAGAGCAAGAGACCCAACACAAATCATGCTTCCATTTGCTGGCTCACTTTCCAAATGCCCCCAACCGTCCATGCTGGGCCAGGCCGAAGCTGAGAATCAGGGATTCAGTCTAGGCGTCCGTGTGGGTGGCAGGGATCCAACTACTTGCGCTAACATTGTTGCCTCCTGAGATCTGCTTTAACAGAAAGCTGGAATTGGGAGTAGAGCTGGTACTCAAACCCAGACTGATATGAGGTGTGGGCATCCCAAGTGGTGTGTTAACTGCTATGCCAAATGCTCACCCAAGTTTTTGTTGGTAATTTTCTCGATTTTACAGCAGGAAATTCGTAATACATTTGTATATAAAGATATATGTAGCTGTATGTGCAAGTACCTTAGTGTGGAGGTGACTTACAATGGGTGTTCAAGAATTGTTTCCATTCTTCTTGAGAAGGGTCATGTGCTCGTGAGATGATTAACTGGTCAGTTTGAGAAGTGAAACTCTTAAGGGCTAACAATAAATATCCACCAAAAACCACAGTGTAAACTCTTGCATCATAAAGCAGACCTTTCTCTTAAGCATGTTTGTGTTTTCTGATTCAGGCTTATAAATTGTTCTAAGATTAGCAAAATTGCTATTTAAGTGTCTTAAAGGTAGGCTGCTCTGATTATTTTAGGTGCTTCCAGTAAAAGCAAATATATATCTTTTCAAAAGAATTATTTTATTTATTTGAAAGTCAAAGTTACACAGAGAGAGGAGAGGCAGAGAGAGAGAGAGGTCTTCCATTCCGCTGGTTCACTCCCCAAATGATTGCAATGGCTAGAGCTGAGCCGACCCAAAGCCAGGAGCCAGGAGCTTCCTCCAGGTTTCCCATGAGGTTGCAGGGGCCCAAGGAGTTGGGCCATCTTTTATTGCTTTCCTAGGCGATAGCAGAAAGCTGGATCTGAAGAGGAGCAGCCAGGACTTGAACCGGCGCCCATATGGGATGCCAGTGCTGCAGGCTGCGGCTTTAACCTGCTGCACCACAGCACCAGCCCCACAAATATATTTTTTAAAAGCATTATTTGAAAGACAGAGTTACAGAGAGTCAAAGATCTTCCATCCAGTGGTTCACTCCTGAAACGGCTGCAATGGCCAGGGCTGGGCCAGGCCAAAGCCAAGAGCCTGCAGCTTCTTCTGAGTCTCCAACATGGGTGTAGAGTCCCAAACATTTGGCTATCTTCCACTGCTTTCTCAGGCAGGGAGCTGGAACCGAAGTGGAGCAGCTGGGTCTTGAACTGTGCCTTTATGGGATGCGGTGTTGTAGGCAGCGGCCTAACCACTTACCCCACAACACTAGCCCAAGGGCAAATACTTATTAGTGAATAAGAGACCACATTATAATTTTTAAAAAAGTTTATTTTATTTAATTGAAAGGCAGAATTACAGAGAGGCAGGGGCAGAGAGAGAGAGAGAGAGAGAAAGAGAGAGAGAGAGAGGTATTCCATCTGCTGGTTCACTCCCCAGATGGCTGCAGTGGCTGGAGCTATGCTGATCTGAAGCCAGGAGCCAAGAGCTTCTTCTGGTCTCCCAAATGGGTGCAGGGACCCAAGGACTTGGGCCATCTTCTGCTTTCCCAGGCCATAGCAGAGAGCTGGATCAGAAATGGAGCAGCTGGGACTCGAACCAGCACCTATATGGGGGTGCCAGCACTGCAGGTGGCGGCTTTACCCACTAAGGCACAACACCAGCCCCCACATTATGATTTATCCTTTTTACTGAAAGTGCATAGTTTATTATTTACTATAAAGTTGTACTTTTTACGTGGAAATCTTGGAACAAAGTCACAGATGTCTAATGCTTTTGCTAACGTGTAGACTGGATAACAGGTTGGAAATGCAACACTTAACCTGCATCATGGAGTGGGATATGTAAGCGTGTGATGTATGATGCAGTTTCAGATCTGATAGTTTCTAATGGTTCTAGAGAAGCTACTAGAATGGATCTGGAGCTGATGCATAATTGTTTGTTCCTATTTGGAAGTATGATTGCTTTTTACTCCTCAGCATCTCATTTGGAAATCTGATCCTTCTGCTTTCCTGCAGGGAAGTTGTGGACTTCTAGGTGAATCAGGAAAGAAGATGCAATTGGGGACCTCCTTTTCTCTTTATGTATCTTCTTGTTATCCACAGAATATAGTATAAATTATTTTTTTCTATTTTATTTTTATTTACTTGAAAGAGTTACAGAGAGCGAGAGAGAAATCTTCCATCCACTGGTTTACTCCCCAAATGGCCACAACAGCCAGAGCTGAGCTGATCCGAAGCCAGGAGCTTCTTCTGGGTCTCCCAGTGGGTGTGGGGGCCCAAATCCATCTTCTGCTGCTTTCCCAGGTGCATTAGCAGGGAGCTGGATCAAAAGTGGAGCAGCTGGGACTGCAACCAGAGTTCATATGGGATGCCAGTGCTGCAGGCTGGGGGCTTTAACCTGCTGTCACAGCACCAGCCCTTAAAATTCTTATTTTTTTTTAAGATTTATTTATTTGTTTGAAAGTCAGGGTTACACAGAAAGACGAGAGGCAGACAAAGGGATCTCTTCCATCTGCTGGTTCACTCTCCAGTTGGCCGCAACAGCTGGAGCTGTGCCAGTCCAAAGCCAGGAGCTTCTTCTGGGTGTCCCATGCAGGTGCAGAGGCCCAAGGACTTGGACCATCTTCTACTGCTTTCTCAGGCCATAGCAGAGAGCTGGATCAGAAGTGGAGCAGCCGGGACTCGAACTGGTGCCCACATGCGATGCCAGCACTGCAGGTGACGGCCTCACCTGCTATGCCCCAGCGCCAGCCCCAGCCCTTAAAATTCTTAATACATATTCTTAAAACAGGCTCTGTAAATTATGTAAACTCTTCTGAGTGATCCACTTCTAGTTACCATCTGTTCCCTCTGAGATCCTGACTGGTCTAACTTGTCTCCTGCCTCTAGAGAGCTACCATTTGCTCTTGCAGACCAGCTCTTTGTCATTGTCCACTTTGCCCTCAGTGCCAGGAGGCTGACCTGGCTCTTGGCTTCTAGATGGGTTTGGACAATGGAAGGCCCTGGCAGCAGGAAGAGGGTTGCTGTGTTTTCTTTCCTGGCTTCATTTTGGCTCTCCCAGAGGTCATAGCTTGTATCAAGTGGCCTTCACTGTACCTTTTAGGCCTGAGAATGGTGGCAGCTTTAGGAGGTCATACTGTCTCTTAACTCTTTCCATACCTTCTATAGCTTATGAATAGTCTTTCTCAACTCCCTTGAATTACCTGGTTTTCATGGAGATGCTGTTTTCTGCTGGATCCTAACTGCTACTTTGCTTCAGTCATGTTTGCAGCTATAGCTATGTTATTTTCCTGAAGCCTTGATCACTTTCTTTTTAAATTCTTTGGTATGAGGTCTTTTTTTTTTTTTTAATTACTTCTCTCTTTAGTCTTTTTTTCTGTCCTGCAGTTTGGCTGTTATATTACATGTATTGACATGTTTGAGTGAATGACAAAGGGATGGACATCTGAGTTTTCCTGTGGTGTGGTGTTCTGTTTTACGGTCTGAAAAGAGGCTGTTTGTTTGTTTTGAGAGAAAATAGGGGAAAACAATAAATATCGAAGTCAGTATAGTCACTTTAATAACTTCTAGATTTGTTTTCATTCCCTTTTTTCTTTTTATTTATTTTTTTTAAAGATTTAAGGGCCAGCAGTAAAGCTGCCGCCTGCAGTGCCAGCATCTCTTATGGGCGCCAGTTTGAGTCCTGGCTGCTCCACTTCTGACCCAGCTCTCTGCTATGGCCTGGGAAAGCAGTAGAGGATGACGTAGGTCCTTGGGCCCCTGCACCCACCTGGGAGACTTGGAAGAAGCTCCTGGCTCCTGGCTTCTGATTGGCCCAGCTCTGGCTGTTGTGGCCATTTGGGGAGTGAACCAGTGGATGGAAGAATTTCTCTCTCTCTCTGTCTCTCTTTCTCTGCCTCTGCCTGTCTGTACCTCTGCCTTTCAAATAAATATTTAAAAATTTATTTACTTATCTGAAAGGCAAAGATACAGGGAGAGAATGAGAGAGAGAGAGAGAGAGAGAGAGAGAGAGAGAGAGATATCTTAAATTCACTGGTTCACTCCCCAAATGACCACAATGGCTGGGGCTGAGCTGGGTGAGGCCAAAGCCAGGAGCCAGGAGCTTCTTCTGAGTCTTCCACTTGGGTGCAGGCTTGGGCTATCCTCCACTGCTTTTTCCCAGGCATATTAGCAGGGAGCTGGCTCAAAAGTGGAGCAGCCAGGACTCAAATCGGCACTCCTATGGGTTGCTGACACTGCAGGCAGAGACTTAACCAGCAGATGAAAGATCCGTCTCTCTCTGGCTCTCTCTTTCTCTATTGCTATATCTTTCAAATGAATGAATGAATGAGTGAATGAAACAGCTAGCCTGTGTTGGAATACGGATTCCATGATGTCATAAGTTTCAGCAAAGTTCCTCATTTCTCTAAGCTACAAAAACTTTATGTGGAAAATGGGGATAGTAATTGTCCCACTTGAAAGGCTTGCGGTAAGGGTTGGATAATCTATATAGCTTAGTGCCTTGCCTGTGTGAGCATGCAATACCTGTTGGCTGTCAAATGTTACTTACCTTAAGAATGCCTTGCTCATTCCCTCTGTGCTCTGGTTGACGCAATTTTCAAGCTGTCTTTGCCTCCCTCTCCCACATAAAAGCTCTCCTGTGCCTCTCCCTGTTGCCTGAGATTCTGCAGTTTCCAGGTCAACTCCGTTTCCTTTTTAATGCTCTTTTAACTACTCAGTTCACATTGACCTCTGAATCCTTATAGGTTCTTTTATGCCATTAGTAATCAGTAATATTTCTATTTCCGTGTTATCTGTCTGCCTTTCAGGGTATTAATTTTTAAATTTACATATAGAGGTGTAGAATGACTATCACAATCAAGATATAGAATAATTTCATCACTGCCCCCAAACTCTATCTTGCTTTTTCTTTTGAATCAATTTCTAGAATATACATTCTGTTTCTACATGTACACTTTAGGTTCTTGAAGCTAGTATCTGTTTCACACTAATTCGTCTCCTCTATTATGGCCTTGCCTAGTGGGCATATAGTAAATGATTAGATACTGAATGTTTGAAATGTATAAAACAAAGCCTGAGAGGCCGGTGCTGTGGCACAGGGGTTAACACCCTGGCTTGCAGTGCTGGTGTTCCATATGGGCAGCTGTTCTAGTCCAAGCTGCTCCTCTTCCTATCCAACTCTCTTCTATGGCCTGGGAAAGCAGTGGAAGATGGCCCAAGTCCTTGGATCCCTGCACCCGTGTGGGACATCCAGAAGAAGCTCCTGGCTCCTGGCTTCGGATTGGCGCAGCTCCAGCCGTTGCGGTCATCTGGGGAGTGAAAATCGGATGGAAGACCTCTCTCTGTCTCTACCTCTTTCTGTAACTCTGTCTTTCAAATAAATAAATCTTAAAACAAAAACGAAAGACACAAAGAGAGAGAAGAAGAATCAAAGCCTGAAAGCATGGTAAATTTGAACATGTCAAGAAGCCATTAATTTATTTAACTTTGGTCTCTCAGAGTCATTATACTTAAGTGAAACATTTCAACTGCAAATCATCCATGTATAATTTGTTAAAGAGCCCTGCCAGGGCCAATAAAACCTATTTTTTATTTATCTTTTGTACTTTTTTATTTATTTGAAAGGCAGAGCTACAGAGAGGCAGAGGCAGACAGATCTTCCATCTGCTGGTTCACTCCCCAGATGGCTGCAAGGGATGGAACAGTGCCAGTCAGGAGCCAGGAGTCTCCTCCGGGTCTCCCACATGGGTGCTGGGGCCCAAGGATCTGGGCCTTCTACTGCTTTCCCAGGCCACAGCAGAGAGCTGGATTGACAGTAGAGCAGCTGGGACTGGAACTGGTGCTTATGTGGGATGCTGGCACTGCAGGTGGCGGCTTTACCCGCTACGCCACAGCGCCAGCCCCCTGTATTTATTTTTTAAAGATTTTATTTATTTATTTGAAAGGCAGAGTTAGAGGGAGAAACACATTATCCATCTGCTGGGTCACTCCCCCAAGGGCTGCAGTGACTGGAGCTGGGTCAGTCTGAAGCCAGGAGCTTCTTCTGGGTATCCCATGTGGATGCAGCATCCCAAGCATTTGGACCATCTTCCTGTGCTTTTCCAGGCACATTAGCAGGGAGCCGGATCAGAAGTGGAGCATGTGGCACTTGAGCTGGTGTCCATATGGGATACTGGTGCTGCAGGCAACAGCTTTACCCACTACGCCATAGAGCTAGTTCCTTTTTTTGTCTTTGGCAAACAGAGCTTCTTCCTTTCTGTTTATATTGTCAAATATACTTACGGTTTCTACTTTTTAAGATTATTTATTTGAAAGGCAGAGTTAAAGAGAAGCAGAGAGAAAGAGCGAGCGAGCGAGCTAGCTTCCATCCACTGGTTCACCCCTCAAATGGCCGCAGTGGCTGGAGCTGAGCTGATCTGAAGCCAGGAGCCAGGAGCTTCCTTCAGGTCTCCTACACGGGTGCAGAGACCCAAGCACTTAGACTATGTTCCACTGTTTTCCCTGGTTATAGTAGAGAGCTGGATTGCAAGTGGAGCAGTTGGGACTTGAACTGGCACCCATGTGGGATGCCAATGCTGCAGACCATGGCTTTACCTGTGCCACAGCGCCAGCCTTCTACTTTTTCTTATCCGTTTAATTCTAATGTGAAACAGGTTTTTATGTCATCTTTGACTACATTTGACTCTTATGATGCCATTATTAAATTTATAAAATCTTCCCTTTTTTCATGAATATATTTAAGATATTAAGCAATTCTATTACATATGAATGAGTTACAGAATGTAAAATAGAAAACCTTCCTATCTTTTCAACTTTATTGTTCCATGAATTGATTTGGCTCTCCTCTCTGAGAATTTCTTTTACTGATTGTCCCTAAAATCAGAGGTCAATGCTAGCAAGAAAATATACTCATGTATACAGGTGGGCTGGTATGGATAAGCAAATGCTACATGGCTTCCTCAATCATCTTTCTTAGGTATTACATAGTATTGCTCTTTCTCCTGAGAGAGCAAAATATGGGTAAATTTGTATTCCATTCAGTAGTTTTACTTAATAACGAAGTGAATTGAATTTAATCAGTGTGTCTTTTTTTCCCTTCCCCAACAGCTTCCATGCCTATGGCTGTTCTAAATTTGGGCCAAATATATCCATTTCAGAGAGGCTTTTTCTGTACAGACAACAGCATCAAGTATCCGTACCATGACAGTACCGTCACAACCACTATCCTCATCCTATTGGGGGTTGGCTTACCCATTTCCTCTGTAAGTAACTTAATAAGTAGGTAGTGTAAGTAACTTAATAAGTTTGTTGTGCTGGAGGTTTGATGAAGTGATTGATTTGGGGTGGGGGTGAATCCACAATACTTATCTTCATCACTGTTGATGAAAAAGATATATTTGAGGAATATATCCAGTGTTTTAATCCAGGGACAGTGTTTCTCCAGTTAAAAGTGGATGTTACTCAAAACGAATTGATGTCATCCTGAAGAATTTTAGAATGATTATTTTAGAATGGAAAGGTTCATTGAAATCGTTTGGGCCAACTCCTCTCAGTACACAAGTGAAAAAATTTAGACCCAGATTCTTACTCAAATCCAGTAAGTTATTTTATGGCAGAGCTGAAACTAAGATAATGCTTGCTTATCATACTACTGGGTGGGAATTGAGGCCATATGAAAGGAGATAGGCATAATTACTAAATTGAGAAAACAAAAAACTCAGCAGAAAGGTTATAAATATATATGCAAAATGATATCCACAGAACCACAGACTATATTACAACTATTTCAATTTTCTTTTTTTTTTTTTAAAGATTGATTTATTTATTTGAGGTGGAGTTACAGAGAAGGAGAGGCAGAGGCAGAGAGGAATTTTCTGTCCACTGGTTTACTCCTCAGATGGACAGAAAGCCAGGGCTGGTCTAGGCCGAAGCCAGGAGCCAGGAGCCAGGGGCTTCATCTTGATCTCCCATGTGTGTGTAGGGCCCGAGCACTTGGGTCATATTCTACTGCTTTCTGGGCACATTAGCAGGGAGCTAGTTTGGAAATGGAGCAGTCCGAACTCGTACCAGCCTATATTTGGGATGTCGGCTCTGTAGGCAGCAGCTTAACCTCCTGCACCACTCCCTGTATCATTATTCTTTAAGTTTACCATTCTTTAAGATAGTTCATCCTTTTATAGGATAATACTGGGTTTCACTATTTAAAATTTCTAAATATTTATTTGAGCAGCAGAGAGATAGAGACAGAGAGACCAAGTGACCTGCTGGCTCACTCCCCAAATGTTCTCAATGACTGACTGGCTAGGCTGAAAGCTGGAGCCAGGAACCCAAACGAGGTGTCTTACAGGGGTGGCAGGGACCCAATTATTTGAGCTATCACCTGCCTCCCAGGGTGTGCTTTAGCAGGAAACCGAAATTGGGAACAGAGGTGAGACTGAAACCCAGGCATTCTCTGGAAGGAGCAGGTCAAAGATTCACCTCCTGTAGAGGCCTGGGAGTGTAGAGATCATGCTGTATTTCTCCTTTGCCCTCTTGGCTCCTGTCAGTTGGCTTCTCCAGATACTTGACTTACTAAATTTTAGTGTCTCACCAAACTCAGCAGCCTTGTTCTACAATAGGCCTGGATGCTTTTTCTTTCCCTATTTTTGCCCCCAGTTTGGCTAAGAAGAATAACCTAGTTCTTTGATTTTCTAGTTTGTGAATCTGAGTTCATTGTGTCTTTATAGCTGGCAGAATTTTAAAACATCGTCTTCATTGTCTACTGATTCTGAAGGGGAAGGGAATTGGATTTGATTATGTTTTAGGATATATAAGTTTTCTACACATTAATAATTTTTATTGTAACCACTTTTATAGGTATAAAAGTGGAGAAGAATCTGGGAGGAGATACTTAGGGTAGCATTTACTTCTCAGGAAAAAATCTTCTCTTTTAGCCACCAGGCTTATCAAACGGTGTGCAGGGACGCGTGAAGTACTGGCACTTACATGACAGTGGACAGGGTTGCTGTGACTGTATGAAGTACAAGTACATTTTATAGCTATATTTTGAATAACTTGCCAGATATAACATTTTTAAAAACTGCTCCTGTATTTCTTCTAAAAAATTTATTTATTTATTTATTTATTTGAAAGAGTTACAGAGAGAAAGAGAGAGGAGGAGACAGAGAGAGGTCTTCCATCTGCTGGTTCACTCCCCAAATGGCTTCAATGGCAGGATTTGGGCCAGGCTGAAGCCAGGAGTGGGAGGGGCCCAGGCACTTGGGCCATCTTCCACTGCTTTTCCAGGCACATTAGCAGGAAGCTGGATCAGAAATGGAGCAGCCAGGACTCAAAGCGGTGCCCATATGGGATGCTGGTACTGCCGGCTCATGGCTTAACCTGTTGTACCACAGCTGTGGCCCTTGTCCTTGTATTTGAAAAGGTAATTGCTTGGTCAGTAAGCTAGTTATTTGACTTGCTATACTTTATCTTTTCCTAAGAAACTTAATAAAAACTAATTTATGACTTCTAAGCATTTTATAATAAAGTAGAAAAGAATAATCCTTATTATCTATTACTCAAAAAGAACATTACCTTCTACCCAAGCATAACTGTTAACATTTGGATGTATTTCCTTTTGTTTCTCAGTTTTTAAAATATTACTTTGATTTATTTGAGAAGCATGCTGAGAAGCAGAGAGGGAGAGAGGTAGAGAGAGAAAGAGTGCCAGTAAATGAGCGAGTAAGAGAGCAAGCACTCCCATCTGCGAGCACCTCACATCAAGCATCTCCCATCAGATGCTTGCAGTGGCTGGAGAGCAGGTAGCCAGGAACTCAGTCCAGGTCTCCCAGGTGGGTGGGAGGAACCCAAGTACTCGGGCCATCACTGCTGCCTCCAGAATCTGCATTATCAGCAACATGAAATGGGAAGGAAGGAGAGCTAAGTGTTGGACCCAGATGCTCCGGTAAGGGGTATGAGCTTTATAACTGGCATCCTAACCTATAGGCTCGATACTCACTCCTGCCAGTTTGGTAGTTTTTAATGTCATTAGGAGTGCACTGTAAATTCGGTTTTGAGCTCTTTTTTTTTTTTTTAATCTTATCACAGATATTTTTGAGTTACCATAAATACTAGTAGTTTAAGTGAGAGCAGTAAGGCAACATTTTTTTTTTTTAAATAATGGGAAAAGACTTGGTGTGAGTTTTCAAGGTCTTTAGTACTAATTCCCTGTGAGTTTACTGATAGTGAGAATTGATCTGGAAAGATACTTCAATGCAAATTCATTTGTATTGAAAGTAGTAGTAATATTTGGCCAGTTTCCAGGCCTTAATGTGCCTGTCTTTTATGGATTAATATTAACAGATTCTTGAGAATTTGTAGGATAGATTTATTTTAATAATTTATATTAAACAATATAATGTGGAAGATAATTTATTTTCTGTAAAGTTAATTATTTTTGTTATAACTGTATACATACTATAAAGTTTGATAAATGATAAAATTTTAGATGATTATAAGTCTACAGTTTAAAGCAGTGACTTATTTTAATAATCTAAGTTCCATATATATGTATTTTAATGAATTCTGTGCTGTTCATTCATTAGCTGTCAAAAAAGATATCAAATTCAGAAGAGTATAGATTTCTACATCATTTGGCTTAAAGGTTCTTTTGTAAATGGGGTGGGGATATTTAACAATTCACTTTGAATTTGAGACCAAACTTACTCCCTCTGCCCTGGACCTTTGACTTTATGTAAGTTTCCTTTTTTCCTTGGCAATTCCTTATGCATTTACTTGAGTAAATTTTTACATTTTGTAGGAAAATGTAAAAGCTTAAATCTGTATGCAAACTTTGAGAGTAATGATAGTAACAGTAAAGTGACTGTTAAATCTCAAATCCCTGTGTTGCAGTGAATAAGTATACTTTGTATGGAGTTTAAATGTATAGTTTCAGAACAGAAAACTCCTACCTATGTTTGATAGGTTATTTGAAGCTGACTTCAGTACTCACGAGAAGTAGTTGGCTTTTCTTAGGTCATGATTATTTGGTTACAACTTTTTAGTAGAAATGTCTAGTCTAAAATAGTAATATAGACAGTGCTTTTCCATGACCAATGTAAAAAATTCCTGAAGAATCACTGTCCAAAACTGCAACATTATAAATCATGAATGTATGTAAATGTTTGTGAGAAAGGCTTTCTCTCTTTATGTATCTTATACATTACTGAGAAACAGATGAATGAAGTGGGCAAAGGGCATGAACAGAAAAATTGTCAGAGTGAGAAAAAAAATGGCCAAGAAATTAAGAAAAATACCAAGATGGGACATTTTTAAGAAAGAAGTTCATGGGGCCGGTGTTGTAGCATAGCAGGTAAAGCCACCACCTGTGACACTAGCATCCCACATGGGCTCTGGTTCTTGTCCAGGCTGCTCCACTTCTTCTTCTTCTTTTTTTTTTTTTTAATTTATTCATCCATTTGAAATGGCAGAGTTACAGAGAGAGAGGTTTTCTGTCTGCTGGTTCACTCCCCAAATGGCCAAACCTAGTCTTCATGTACAGCCCAGCAATTTTATTTCCAGGTATTTATCCAAAGGAGTTGAAAACTTATGTCCACACAAAAAACTGCACATGAATGTCCACAGCAGTTTTATTCATATTTGCCCAAACTTTGAAGCAACCAAGAAGTCTTTTATCAAGTAAATGGATAAAACAAACTGGTACGTTCATTGAATGTAGTAGTATTCAGTGATAAACGAGCTATCCAGCCAGGAAATACATAGAAGAACTTTAAATGCATATTGGATTTAAGTAAATTTAAAAAAAGAACCTTAACTGTATACTGCAAAGTGAGAGAAGCCAGTCTGAAAAGTCTGTTGTATGAGTCCAACTGTGGCATTGTGGGAAAAGGCAAAACTATGGAGACAGTAAAAAGATCAGTGGTTGCCAAGATTTGAGGGGAGGTCAGAAGGGATGAATAGGCAGAACCTAGAATGCAGTGAAATTTTTCTGTTATCACTAACGGTGGATAATTGATATTTTGTGCTTGTCAAAGCCCATAACGGGACCGGTGCTATGGCATAGTGGGCTAAATAAGCCTCTGCCTGCGTATGGATGGAGGTTCTTGTCCTGGCTGCTGCTTTTTCAATCCAGCTCTCTGCTAAGGCCTGGGAAAGCAGTATAAGATGGCCCAAGGGCTTGGGCCACGGCACACCCATGTGGGAGACCAAGAAAAAGCTCCTGGATTCTTGTTCCTGAATTCAGTTTGACTCACCTCCGAGTGTT